ATGAACCTCAAAAAGAAGCGGGGACATTAATGCTTCTTCTTTTCCACAGGAAGGATTTACAATTCAGCACACTTGTCATCATAAAGCCTACCAGCCTGTTGGCACATGTATGGGCGTGGTGGTGGCAAACTCTGACATGGGTGCCTTGGTATGTAGTTCATGTGGTAGAGCATCAAAGCTGAATCCTAACTGCACTGGCTCAGATTTTAATCCATCCTGGGACCTTTGCTGCATGTCTCTCTCTATCTAAACAATCCTTTTGACCTAAAGAACAAAGGACTGGGATTATAACATTGTCCATTTAGATAAAAATGCATTTGTGAAGCCAGTCTTGTCACAGAAGGGTAAGGAGGAAAAAAAAAAACAACAACAGTTGAAGAAAATTGAATACATCCGGCTCATTACATAACCTGCAAACTGTTGAACAGACTACAGATTGCACTCTCTTCTTCCTCCACATTCAGACACACTTCTCCGATCATTGCCCTCAGCAGAAGGATTGCCTCTCCAGTTGAAGTTTGCAGCTCCTTAACCACCTACAGAGAGAGGAGGAGGCCTTCTGTTAATGAAAGGCCACTGCGGGCCACTGAACTGACATTAATTTGTCATCAAAATGCTTTTTAAGCGTTTGAATGCTGAAATTGAAATACTCAACTGTACAAATATACCCATTTAAAGCTCATTAAGACGGCAGATTGTTTAAATATAGTGATGATTTTAGGCAGAGCACTAGGAGCAGAGTATTCAAACCTTATCTTGTTTATGTGAACGGGTTTTTATTTCGCTACTCTAAAATTATATAAATGACTGGATACTAAGGCCCAGATGTCCAAGCTCTTCCTGGTGAAACCAAAAACCTGAGCTGTAAAGTTTGAGCAAAAATGAAGATTTCTTTGTAAAGAGCTGGATTCTGAGCACACCTACATCACATCTCACAACATCAACACTACCGTTGAGTGCTTGGAATATTCACAACGCCAACATTTTTTGTCTTGAGTGTCATAAATATGTAGATGTACAAACAGGACTCTCTCACCAGCACAGCCTGGTCCAGCATCTCACAACCCTGCGCATAAGCTGTTTCAATATCAATGCAGTGAGTCCGACTCTCCCTGTTGAAAACAAACAACATCTAATTTAATCAGTTCAATTGAATTTATCTTTTTATATATATATATATATATTGCTCTGTTACAACACATCATATGTCTATATATATATATATATATTGCTCTGTTACAACACATCATATGTCATCTGGAGGCACTTTACATCCACTGTTTTAAAAAACATAAGAAAACTGAAAAAAACCTGGTGGCAAGGACGCCACAAAAATCGACACATTAAAAAAACAACAACTAAAGACCAGTTACTGTATGTACCATAAATACACTATGCAGCTGATATCTAACACTGAGAGCTCTATCCTATCAAAGTAATTACGGTAATTTAACGAGAAACAAAAAACAAATGAAACACATCAAAAATAAATGTTATAATAAATAAAGTTCTAGTAACAGCTAAGAGAAAAACACTGTGATTATATAAGAATTTGGAGAATTTGTAAATCTGTAATTTAACATGAAAAAAATTCCTTCACTACAGAAAATGTAGTAAAATTACTATAAAATACTTGTAAAAACACAAGAAAAGTCAACTATAAAACAGAAATTAATTAATTAATCGTGGATATTATTACAGTTTTTGGTTGTTCTTTATGACTGACTGGCAAATGAATGTTCTTTGTGTGATTTTACCAGTTATTATCTTTAATTTAACAAAATAAGGGAAACTCTGTAAAATAATAGTAAATTGTTAAAAAGCCCATAATTGAAATTGTTTGAAAAATGTAATATTTTACAGTTGTAAGGTCAAAAAAATTACAGTATTATAGAGAAGAGGTCTATTTCTGTGTAATGATTGACTCACACTTGCATGTCTCTGAAACATTTGATGCAGAGCATCGACTTATTCTCCGTTGAGAACAGGATGTAGGGCTCCTCATGGAGAGCTGCAGAGACACAGACGCATGCTTTACTTGAGACCACAGGAGTGACAGCGTCAAAGTCTTCTGTTATTCCAGCGATCAGGTTGTGACAAACAAGATACAAACACTGACAGGCTTGAAATCGCTTACTGTCACCACTTAAGGTGTATCACCAAATGGTATTTCAGAAATTACCCACCATTCTGTGTGAGAACAGGATTAATATGTGGCCTGGGAAATTCAAGCAGAGCACAGGCTGGACAACAGTTCTAACAAACAACGTGCTTCTACACTGCTGTAATAATACCTTGTTGGCAAGTAATTCTTGTGGAGGAAATTACAGGTGACACTCACAGCATTTCCTGTGTTTGGCTTTGCTGCGTTTGGCCAGCGATACAATCTCATGGTGGGAAAACATTCTGGCCTTATGTGTCAGTTCCCTGCAGGCAGCGCATAGTGGCTGGTTGCAAGTGTTACAGTAGTACATCACCCCTGTGTCCTGCACAAAAACAAAAGTTAAAAAAAGGACAATGAATATTATTTTTTAAAGATAAAAAATATTCTATTAAAAAACATACTTGTCTAAAAGCTTCTGTGTGTGTGTTGAATTTAAAAATCCTGACTCTGGCATTTTCAGAAAAGACGGTCTGGATCTAAACACTGGGAATAAACTGCACTACATTTCACCAGGACAGTCCAATTTCTCCACACATGAAAACTAATGTTTTAAATAATCCAAATAAGTGGGGAAAAAAATGCAAAAAAACACATGGAAATATCTATGCATAGAGACTTCCACATCTTAAACTGAATGTGAAACCAAATTTGATTAAAAACCAAATACAAACTGTGTCATACAGTAGTTATGAAGCACTCTGGTCAGCAAAAGCTTCATACTTGCTTCAACTTTCTCAATGCATTACTTGTATCTCTAGAGAACTGATATCTTGTTTCACATGATTTCTGTGACTTAAAGCATTTTTCACTTCTTGCTGTGAGTTACCAACACTTTCTTGTTAAGATTTTAGAATAAATGTGCATATATTTCCAAATGTGTGTCATGTCTCTACTGTATAGTCTTCCACGATCAGTCTAGATGTTAACACATCAATAAAGCTGTGGGCAGAACAGACTGTGTGTGAAAAAGCAGGCCAACCTGTGTATGACTTTTGCCCTAAGAAGTTTGAGTTAATGCAGGTTCACTTGTACCTTTTTGTTACTTTCCTGGTCACAGTTGGCACACTGCACTGGCTCCTCAGTATCTGCATTGTTGTCCACAAGGAACTTCAGCAGACGGTCCTCTGGTGGGAGGGCGTTAGTACCTTTTATGAGGGATGGGTATCTGTGACAATAACAGACATTCAGTAAATATTTTGTCAAGAGAAATTGTGGCATTTATCATCAGATTAGTAATACCAGCAAGTTGATTTTGCCAGGAATCATTCAAACTGCATAATTTGAAATTGAAATAAGAAGAACAGTGATTAGTTTTTGCTGTAGTCTCT